TGGGTGGGCTTTGAGGTACCCTGTGCTCAAGCTATGCACAGTGTAGCACTCAGTTAACTTCCTGTTGTCTGAGGATCAAGACATAGGACTCTCAGCTCCTTCTCTAGCACCACATCTGCCTGCTTGCTGCCATGTCCCGCCTTGATGATAATGGACTAACCCTCTGAACTGTAAGCCACCCCAATTAAATGTTTTCTTCTATTAGAGTTGCCATGGTCGAGGTGTCTCTGCACAGCCATAGAAACCCTAACACAGTCCATCATGGCAGGCAAGCATGGTGGAAGGAGAGTGAAGGAGCTGTTCAGTTGTGTCCACGGTCAGGAAGCAGAATGAAATGAAGGCTGGTGCTCAACTCACACTCTCCAGCCCATGGAATAGCACCACCCACATGCAAAGTGGGCCTTCCCATCTCAGTGGACACATTGTAGAACCTCCCTCGCAGCCATGACGGGCTGGTCTCCTGGGTGACTCTAGAGCCCGTCAGGTTGACAATTTAAATCATCACCGACATCGTCGTCGTCACTGTTCCTTGGATTATGACGTTCTGAGGGAACATATCTGATGAGTGTTGCAACTTGGTGATTCTAAGCAGTTGACCAAATGCTAAAAACCCCAATTCTCCCTCTCTGCAAGGAAACAGGAGAAGAGCCAACATCCCGAGGTCCCTCCAGAACCCAGCCTCTCCATTTGCATTTCCTTCAATGACCCATGACAGCAGCAACTGATTGGCCACACTGAAAAACAAATGTACGCTTTATTTCTAAAAAGTACTACAAATTCATTCTCAGCAAGGAGATAATATTAAGTGCTGGTAGAACTGTAAGGGGTGCTGGAGCTGTAGGGGGTGCTGGAATAAGGAGGTGCCGGAGCTGTAAGGGGCACCAGAGCTGTGAGGGGGTGCCAGAGCTGTAAGGGGATGCTGGAGCTGTAAGGGGGTGCCACAGCTGTAATGGAGTGCTGGAGCTGTAAGTTAATGCTGGAGCTGTAAGGGGGGGCCACAGCTGTAAGGGGTGCTGGAGCTGTAGGGGGCAGTGGAGTTGTAGGGTATGCCGGAATAAGAAGGTGCCAGAGCTGTGAGGGGGTGCTGGAGCTATAATGGGGTGCTGGAGCTGTAAGTTAATGCTGTAGCTATAAGGAGGTGCCTCCGCTGTAAGGGGGCGCTGCAGCTGTAAGGGAGCGCTGGATCTGTGAGGGGTTTCAGGACAAGGGTTTGACACAGGAACTGGGATTGTTTCTTTGATGCTGTCAACATTTTCTTACAATTGGGTGAAAGATGTGGGTGAGAGCAGATGTTACCCTTGATCAATTAATTGTAGCCAGCTTCCCATCACAGAAGCCTGAGCGTTCCTGTCTCATGAGCATCCTTGCAGCTGGACAGGTCTCACTCCCCTCATCCATTGTTAATTCCCCTCTCCACTTTCTGCACATAGAGGTCAGACCCTCTGCACCACACCGGACCTCACGCTGCTTCCTCCACGTGGGTCATGGGCATTCATTATTCAGGCTGTGCACGTTTTCTGAAAAGCTCTTTTCCTCTGTGTTCCTGGGGGATTCCTGTTTGCTCCTCAACATTCAGGCCACTGTCTGTAGATCGGCACTGTGTTCCTTGGCTCCCCAGACTTCCAACTACTCCCTCCTCTGGCTCAGACCCTCTTTCTAGAAAGCCATGGCATCACAGTGGTTCTGATGACATAGACTTCCCTAGCAGGCCTCTGGGTTCTCCCGGACAGAGATGTCCTCTTACTAAGCTCACATCTGCACCAGCCTCAGTAGAGGAGACAGCTCCACCTGTGCCTCCCCGTCTCAAGGCGAGCGTTACCAAGCCATTACTTATTTGGCTTTTTGTAACCCCATCACTGAGTAGGAACACTCTTTATGTGAAAAAGCCAGTCTTACCCCTAGCGACATCAGAAGGACATGAAATAACAGCCCTGGCATTGAACAGCAGGCAAGATGACTAGCAGGCAGGAGGCAGGGGCAACCTCAGGCACTGTTGGGACCCCTGTCTCTCATATGTGTTTCTCTGGGTATGTTAGAATGGCTTGTGCTCATATCTACCCCTTCCAAGAGGTTGTATTCTCCCTAAGGATGCAGTCTTCAACTGTATCCTTTGGTCTTGCTGACTAACAGAGAGCACGTGCTGACCACAAGGACAGAGGTTCATAGGATCGCCCACTGGTTGAAGTTCTTCTGTGAATCCCATGTTTAATAGCTCATCCCATCCTTGTATGACCTAGTACAACATCAAGTAGAGTAGCTGGACATCCCCAGGAGCAGAACAGCATGTGTATGGGGTGGGGGGTGATCGGCTTCTATCACTGTGATGTAGTGAGTCATCTGCAGTTGGAACGGCATCCCCACAGGCTGGCAACCCCAGGAAGAACTGAAGCAGCTTCTGGAACCTGGAGGTATCTGGAGGCAGAAGCCTGTCTTCCTCAGAAATTTCCACCTTTTTTGTTCTTGAGGGTTTCCTGATTGGATGAGACCCGCCCACCCTGGGAGGGGCTTCTGCTTCAGTTAGGTCCCTTGACTTAAATGTCTTCTCATCTGAAGAGCATGAACCTACTTCCTGACTAGCAGTTGGCTGAATATGGTCCCCTGCCCCCGACCCAGCTAAGTTGACATACAACATTATCAACTATAGGATGACACCATCCCCACCTCCATTCCATGGAAGAGGGGGAAACATCACAAATTGCTTAAATAACTGCCCAAGCCACAAGATGATAAAGGGACAGTTGGGACAGTTTGTTTCCTTAAAATCCAAGCTCTGGCATTTTCCTACCAATTATTGCCTAGTAGCAAATATTTTGCCAAAAGGCTGTGTCTTAGTTATGTGATTGCTGTGATAAAACACCATGACCAAATATAACTAGGGGAGGAAAGGGCTTGCATTCCACAACCCAGTCCCTCATGGAAAAGAGTCAAGAAAGGGCCTCAAGCAGGGTAGAAATCTAGAGGCAGGAGCTGATGCAGAGGCCATGGAGGGGTGCTGCTTACTGGCTTGCTCCCCATGGCTTGCTCAGCCTGATTTCTTACAGAACCCAGGACCACCAGCCCAGCAATGGCCACCCACCCATGAGGGAGCTGGGCCCTCCCCCATCAATCACTAATGAAGAAAATGCCCTACAGGCTTGCATGCAGCTGGATCTTCTGGAATCATTTTCACAACTGAGGCTCCCTCCTCTCTGATGACTCTAGCTTGTGTCAAGTTGACATAAAACCAGCCAGGACAGGCTGTGTGATGAGGAACAGTAGAAGATGAAGCATGCCTTTCTGACACGGCCAAGTGTGAAATGTTATAAGACAGACGTAGCATTGAGCAGAAATGCTTGTCCAGGAAACAGCCCCAGAAGATGGTCACATACCTAATTTGGTCACATGTTAACAACCTGAACATTAACCGTAAACCACTGGGCTATTCATGGGAAAGTTGCTGCTGGAGGCCCCTATGCATGTGCATGTGTTTGCTTTGATTTGGGGGCTGGTGTGTGTGTGTGTGTGTGTGCTGTCTGTCTGCCCATCCATATGCTTCTTGAGGAACCTGCTTCTGGTTCTTTGAAGTTGCTAGAGCTATACTTTTCTATTCTGACATCTACACCTGCCTCCTACTGCGAAGGACTGGACCCTGACTGGGCTACATTTGTCTTACACCCCCAAAAAGAAAATCACACTTGCTGTGTAGTTAAGAAGACTGACTCCTAATTCGGTCTCTTATTGTCTGCTCAATGCTTTGGACAGTTATTTAATCTTTTCAAGTTCCAATCTCATTCACGCAATGAAGCTAATGGGATACCTCCCTGGAACAGTTGCCATGGTGACCTAGAAGGAAGGATGCAGGTAAGCACGGCCACCTAGGCCTCGCTGGAGGAGTGGGCACTGTGAATGTGAGTCATTATTTTGAAGGATAATTAATGTGTAAGTTATCTTCAGTATTTCCTTACTAAACCATTTTAATTACCATTTTATGACTCTGTGTTAATTATAAATTATATAATTTATGGGTAAAATTAATTATTTATTATATTAATTATAAACATGCAATATATAATTAATTATACAAAGTAAAGGTTTTCATTATAACATTTCCACACATGCATATGATTTGCTGATTAAATTCATTCCCCCTATTAACTCTTTCTCATTTTCAGCACTTTAAATTTCTTCCTACTGTGTGTGTGTGTGTGTGTGTGTGTGTGTGTGTGTGTGTGTGTGTGTGCGCGCACTCATGCATGCCACAGTGAACATGTGGTGGCTCACAGTGAACATGTGAACTTGCAGGAGTCGGCTCCCTCCTTCCATCGTGTGGGTCCCAGGGACCTAACTCAGATGGTTAGCAGCAAGCACCTTTGCCCATGAGCCCCCAATGACATTTTAGCCGGAAACAATACCTCAACCAAGTAACCTCCACATTCAGAGCGTGTCTACAATGCAGGGACTTCAAGAATCATTTAAAGATTGTCCCAGCTGACACCCAGGTCCTTGCATCCTTCCTTGCTCTTCCCATTACCAGCTTGTGGTGACTGACCCTCCTAGCTCCAGGTCCCCACCCCAACAGGAAGCCTTTCCCAGTTTCTCTCCAGACACTGGCCAGTCACCTTCCAGTACCTTCCAATAAGAAAATGCAGTCCCAGCCAGGGAGCATCTATGGGACCCCGCTGTGTCTGGTTACTATCACCCTCACACAGAAGAAACTACAGATCCCCAAATGACCCCTATTTGTTCCCAGGGGAAATGTTTCCAGTTATACTTCCCAGGGCACCCTCCTTCACCTGCTCTTCTGCAGAAAATTAAGTGGATATGTCAATGTGTCTTCAGAACTCTGACATTATTTCACATACACGAACACTGATCCAGGGCTTAATGCATTCCAGCCATCCTCTGTTCTCAACTTCTGCTCAGTTCCTCTGCCACGAGTCAGAGGAGAGCATTTTCTCACAGGGCGCCTCCATGTTCCTTTCCAGTCTCTGCGCTGAATATTGAACCCTCTCCCTTTGCAGAAACCACAGAACGTAGGAGCCTCCTGGACCTCACAGACAGTGAAGGACATTCACTGAGCTCCTCACAGGACAGTGAGGGCTCCCTGCTGCCGCCGCCGCCCCACACAGGGAATAGCAGTGATAAAGGCAGTGAGGGCAGAGACTTCTGGGCATCACAGCTGATGGAGGCAGGAAGTGTGAAGACCAGAGCTCCGTCCAGGAGCCCCTGTGAAGAAGCCAGGAGTGGTGGCCCTTGCTTCTAACCCCAACGCTGAGGAGGCAGAGACAGGTTGGTGCACGGGCTTATTGGAAAGCTACTTCAACCTTTTCGGTGAGCTCAAGGCCGGTGTGAGGCCCTGTCTCCAAACTCAGGTGGATTGCACCTGAGGAGTAACACCTGAGGTTGTCCTCTGGCCTCCACTAACACAGGTACACACATGCACAGACACCCACACCCCAATGCATGTGCGTGCACGCACGCACACACACATGCACACACACACATACACACACACGTACACACACATACACACACGCACACACACACATACACACGCACACACACACGCACACACATGCACACACACGCGTGCACACACATGCACACACAAACACACACGCGCGAGCACACGCATGCGCGCGGGTGCACATACACACACACGCGCGCGCGTGTGCACACACATGCACACACACACACGCGCACACACGCATGCGCGCGGGTGCACATACACACACACAAACACACACGCACACACACACATACACACGCACACACACACGCACACACATGCACACACACGCGTGCACACACACATGCACACACACGCGTGCACACACACAAACACACACGCGCGAGCACACGCATGCGCGCGGGTGCACATACACACACACGCGCGCGCGCGTGCACACACATGCACACACACACGCGCACACACGCATGCGCGCGGGTGCACATACACACACACGTGCACACACACACACATACACACACACACACACACGCGCGCGCGCGCGCGCGCACGCGCGCGCGCACACACACAGAGGACATTTTCCTATCATCACCGAGCTGTCATCTCCAACTTAACACATCCTAAGTGAAGAAGTGAATCAAGAGTCTGAGGACTGAGCAATTTGAAATTTATCTTGTTGTTGTTGTTGTTGTTGTTGTTTTTAAGTAAAGCACAAACAAAAACAAGACGTTGATATCAGATGAGAGGGAAAGGCCATGGTCTGGAAGTGAGAACGGGAGAGAAAACACTGAGTTGCAGTTGGTAAAAGACAAAAGGGTCTCACTGAGGCTTGGGGGTGAGATCGGGCAGAGGCGAGGAGAACACACACACACACACACACACACACACACACACACACACAGAGGGGGGGGATTGAGATGTGCACAGGAAGAACCTAGGCAAGGCCTCACACACACAGCATGACCATGAGAGAGACACAGCACCGGGGCCAGTGTATGAGACTTAGCCTCAGGGGCTGGAGAGATGGCTCAGCAGTAAAAAGCACTGGCTGCTCTTCCAGAGGTCCTGAGTTCAATTCCCAGCACCCATGTGGTGGCTCACAACCATCTGTAATGAGATCCAGTGCCCTCTTCTTGGCCTGCAGCCATACATGGACACAGAACACTGTATACATAATAAACAAATCTTTTTAAAAAAAGAAAAAAGGACTTAACCTCAATAAACATCAGGGCGAGTGACTGAAACAGGAGTCCGGGCCAGGATCCCCGAGGCAACCCCTCTGCCTGTTGGTCGTCTTGAACCCACTGGAAAGGGAGAGACTCTCCTTGTGGTGATGAGAAGTGACAGATTCGGCTTAAAGAAGGAAGGCCTTACTGTGGCTCACAGTTCAAGGTGACAGCCCATCACAGCAGGGGTGGTGGTGGTGGCAGCTGAATATGGCATCCATAGTCAGGAAAGAGACAGACAGACAGATGCTGGTGTCCAGGACCCCAGCCCATAGAAGGCTACTACCCACATTCATGGTGGGCCTTCCCACCTCCATGAACCCACTCTAGAAACTCCCACCCAGACGTGTACAGAGGTTTGCCTCCTCTCCTCGGTGATTCCAGATCCTTTCGGGTTGACAGTCAAGACCGACCATCCCAAGGATGCAGCTGGCCACATAGTGCCATGGCAGCTGAGCCCAGGGCGACAGAGAGAGACACATTTTGCAGTGGCAGGTTGCAGGCACCCCATGTCTCCCGAAGAAGATGCCATTAGCTTTCTAAATCATCCATCAGGCTATCGAGAGGCAAAACCTGCTACGCGGACATGGAGGAGCAGGTGGAGTTACAACCAGTGTGGAGACATCTCTGTACCCCTGGAGTCCCATGAGGCTCTAAGACACAATGGCCACACACTGCAGATATAAGGCATTAAAATCATCTCAGAAACAACGTCTCCAACAAAAAGGGGACCATGTCATGCCCCGCCTGAGGCTTCGTGTCTCTGTGAAAGCTCGCTGGATGGGCTGTCCAGTCCCCCTGGGACAGCGCTGGGGATGCTGGGAGCCGTTGGTGTTCTCTGCTCACCCTACACCATCCCGCACACTTGGACCGTCAATGGTCCGATCTCTAGTATTACGATCATCACAGCCTTTTTGTGGACTCAGCACATGGTGTTGGAAGACTCTGTTCACACCTCTCCAATATTTCCTCCACTCAGCAATCCTTCAAGTGGATCTTGCTAACTCCATCTCACAGGCGAGAAAATTGGGTTCAGGGAGGTTAATTGACTTGCTTGTGATCCAACCGTGAGCAAATATTATGCTGAAACTCGGATGTGAGTCTTGGGCCTGCAAATCCAATGCTTTCATTGTCATAACATCTCTTCTGTCCTAGTCACACAGCTCTTAACGTCTCCGTGCCCACTTCAGTCCTGTGGCCATTCTGTGCCCCAAAGTCAGAGGGAGAAGCAGTGTTCCAAAACCTCCACAGAAGCATCCCTTAAGCTGGACAACAAGTCAGCAAGTGACCCCACATCTGGTTGGATTCTTAACTAGAAAACGTCATAGACTCTTTCCTGCGTGTTTCCTCTCTAAGGTCTTCAAGCCACAGAAACATTTCCCAAGTTCAGACCCTAGTGGCTGTGTGTGTGTGTGTGTGTGTGTGCTGTGTGTGTGTGTAGTGTGTGTGTAGCATGTGTGTGTATAGTGTGTGTGTGTGTGTGGTGTGGTGTGTGTATGTGTGTGTGTGTGTGTGTG